AATGACTATCCAACTCCATAAGGATCCTCTTCGATGCCCATCTTCCTCTTGAAGTAGCTGGTGCTGCCAGGAGCAGACGTGTCTCCTTGTCATGAAAAGTCCTAAGTTATTAAAATATTTTAAATGCCATATTCTGCAGTCTTTGAAAGATATGAAGAATGCCTATCTAATTGAAATATATCTCTATATATCTAGAAAATCTAACTAACATGACTACAAGCTTAACTATTAGCAATGATTATCCATTAACAACCTATATTTCCTAATTATACATTACATTTTAAGTGAACTACATAATCACAATACCTTAATCAAGTTCAAAAATACATATACATATAACAAAATTGACCTTAAAATCCATACCAATGCAAATTATTCATATCTATATCATATCCCCCTTTAAATGTAAAAGAACATTTATAAACAATATTTGGGAACATGGGCGTAGTTTTTTCTCTCCAAACTGCTTCCTGCTGAATGGGGGCACTGTTAATCAGATCATTTAGGGTGTAACCTGTGTGTCAGGTTCATCTCGGTTGGCAGTTGAGTGAAGTAATTTTTTGAGGGTGTTCACAGCAACCTTTCAGGAGGGCGTGGTCTATCATACCATACCGGGATAGATGCAATCCATAGGGTCACATCCTCTGTGGAAACAAAAGAAGACCCTCTCCAAAGCATCATATCCTTAGATCCAAATTTTGAAGTCAAGATACCTTTAGAACATATGTGCAGGTTCAGCTTAGCAGCCCATATAATAAAATGTCTCTTTGTACTTAGCTCCTTCACAGTCAAAAATTTTAAAGAAAACACAATGTACATAATCCAGACTCTCTGTGAATTTTTCATTTTTACGTGGCTTATTTTTCTTTATTTCTCTTAATCTATAACTATCTGTACTTCTGTACTCTGTCTCTTTAAAGACTTTACCCTTTTTCTTTTTAAGACATTAACTTTATTCTTTATATTCTCTTTTTTTCCCCAAGCCTACGTACATTCATCCAACGGTGTCTGAATCTGTTTTACTGTGAATCTGTAATTTTTTTTTTATTATCCAGGAGCATTTCTTAAAATGTTAAGCATTTCTTAAAAACTTAAGTTGCACCATGTATAGGTAATACGGTACTGCCTGTGTCCTGCCCAGTCTAAACCTTAACTGCACGGTTTTAAGGTAATTACGGTAGTTCCTGCCTGAGATCAGCACAGTTCAGCAAGGAGCAGCCGCTCCTGCCTCAGAGTCATTTGGTGCTTTTGAGCTGAGCACAGTTACAGGCAAACAGCAGTTTACATTGGAGCCGCAATCAGCAATTTAATTTTGAGACTGAGTGTGCAGCACAGAAACTCTTTTTATCCAAGTTACAGCCAAATCTGACACGCAGAGCACTGCGCAGTCTGAAAACGCGTCTCTGTATGGCAGCAGGAATCCGCCATGCTCTTCCGCCTGCCTAAGCCTGATTCCGCCATCTGCCCAGGTGTAGGCAGGGAACGCTGAGCCATCGGCAGGTCTCAGAGCAATCTCCTCCGATCCCAAGTGGGAACAGAAACATCCAGTCCCATAAAAGCCTTGAAATGCTTTAAAGCCAGAGTTCACGCTGGCAGCATAGCACCAGGAAGCCGCGCTTTAAAATGACGCAGCTTTTTTTCTCTGCTGCTGTTGCTGAATCAGGAATCTCTCTACAGCATGTCACCAACAAAACAGCAAAAATCTGTGTTAAACTCTGTTTCCCTTATTTTTAAGCCTTCTCAGGTTTTTAAGTGGATTTAGCCCCACGTTGGGCGCCATCTGTTGAAATAGGAGCGGCAGGGCTGCGTCCCCGGCACCCGGCCGCCCGCATGGCTAGCTTATACCCAGAAATAATTACACGGAAACTGTATTCTTTCAAACACTGCCTGGCCCGGCTAGGTCCAGTTTCTTATTGGCTAGCTCTTACATATTGTTCTAACCCATTTCTAATATTCTGTGTAGCCCATGAGCTGGCTTACCAGAGAGGATCTTAACCTGCGTCTGTCTGGAGTGGGAGCATCATGGCGACTCTTCCTCTAACCTTCTTTCTCCCAGAATTCTCTTCTGTATACTCCGCCTACCTAATTTTCTATCCAATAAAATGGGCCAAGGCAGTTTCTTTATTAATAAGAAACTATTCCCACATCACTATGCGTTATAACAAAAGAAGAAAATATCTACCTACAATAATGCCACATTCAATAGAATATATACTAAGAAATTTCACAAACGCAGTCTAAGGCTAATGCAACAAAACTCTAAAACGTTATTGAAAATATTTAATTCCAGAAGACCTGAGACAAAAAAATCTCATGTTCCATGGATCAGAGGATTAGTTTTGTTAAAATGACAATACTTCCTCCCCAAAATGACACAGAAATTCAATGCAATCACTGTTAAAATCCCAGCTAGTATTGTTTTAAACAAAATTGACAAGATATTCCTAAAATCCAGATGGAAATGTAAGGTATCCAAAATCACCAGATCAATCTTGAAAACAAGAAAACTAAGATCTGTTTCCCAAGATCCAGATTTCTAACAATTGTAGTATTCAGGAAAATGTAGCTGTGTCATGAAGATCAACGAAATAGAATTTGAAGTCCAGAAACAAGCCCTTATATTTATGGTCAATTAATTTTTGATTGAATCAGTAATTCACATCAATGGATAAAAGAATAGGCTTTTTAATAAATCATGCTGAAATACATACATATGTAGCAAGAGAAAGATAGATGATTTTTCCACCATCAAAATTTAAAGCTTTTATGTCTCAAAGGACACCACGAAGGAAATGAAGTGAAAGACCCTGGTAAGAAAGCATTTGCCTTATGAGCATGGGGAGGTGAGTCAGACCCCCAGAATCGACACCGAGAAAAGCTGTGGGGCTGGAGAGACTGCCTAGTGAATAAAATGCTTGCCACACAAGCCTGAGGACCTAAGTTCGAGTCATTAGCAGCCATGTAAAAGCCAAGAGCTGCAATGCATGTTTATAACCCCAGCATTGTTGGGGCAGAGAAGGTGGCTCACACGAGCTCACTGGTCTGTGTAGCTAAATCAGAGAGTCCAGGCTCAGTGAAGAGACCTAGTCTCAAGAAATACAGTAAAGAGTGATCCGGGACACCCTACACCAACCTCTGTTGTTCACCACTCCCTATCACATACATGCACCAGCACACACAAAAACATCCAGGCAGGCATGGTAGCATATATGTGTAATCCTGGTGCTTAAAGTACAGAGGCAGGTAGATCCTGGGGCTCTCTACCCAGCCAGCCTAGCCTACTTGGTGAGCTCCTATCTAGTGAGACACCTTTCTCAAACGCAGGTGGATGACTTCTGAAGAGCCTCTGACCTCCAGATGAATGGACACATGTGTACATACAAACACACCTACACACAGAGAACCCACAGAATGAGGAAGAATGTTGGCAAATCATTTATTTGACTAAAGACTTATATCCAAACTATATAAAGAATTCTTTTTTTCCTCTCAAGACAGGGTTTCTCTGTGTAGCTCTGGCTGTCCTGGAGCTAGCTTTGTAGATAATGTATGGCCTTGAACTCATAGAGATGGCCAATTTCTTGAGTTCTTTGTATATTTTGGAGATCATACCTCTGCCTGACGTGGGGTTAGTGAAGATCTTTTCCCAATCTGAAGGCTATCGTTTCGTCTTGTTGACTGTGTCCTTTGCTTTACAGAAGCTTTTCAGTTTCAGGAGGTCCCATTTATTTATTGTTTCTCTCAGTGTCTGTGCTGCTGGGGTTATATTTAGGAAGTGGTCTCCTGTGCCAATGCATTCAAGTGTACTTCCCACTTTTTCTTCTATGAGGTTCGGTGTGGTTGGCTTTATGTTGAGGTCTTTGATCCATTTCGACTTGAGTTTTGTGCATGGTGATAGAGATGGCTCTGTTTTCATTCTTCTACATGTTGATATCCAGTTATGCCAGCACCACTTGTTAAATATGCTTTCTTTTTTCCAGTTAATATTTTTTGCTTCTTTATCAAAAATCAGGTGTTTGAAGATGTGTGGATTGATATCCGGGCCTTCTATTCGGTTCCATTTGTCCTCCTGTCTGTTTTTATGCCAATGCCAGGCTATTTTCAGTACTGTAGCTCTGTAGTAGAGTTTGACGTCAGGGATTGTGATGCCTCCAGAAGTTCTTTTATTGTACAGGATTGTTTGGGCTATCCTAGGTTTTTTGCTTTTCCATATGAAGTTGAGTACCATTCTTTTGAGGTCTGTGAAGAATTTTGCTGGAATTTTGATGGGCATTGCATTGAATCTGTAGATTACTTTTGGTAAGATTGCCATTTTTACTATGTTAATTCTACCTACCCAAGAGCATGGGAGACACAAATAATACAATTTGAAGATGGGGGAAAAACAATTTAAAAATGGGCAAGAATTCAAAGTCCAAAAAAATGGACATTTCTTCAAGAGAAATATAGAAATGGGCAATAAACATATGAAAAGACAGGTGCTTGGTGCATTAGTTGTCTGGAAAATGCATGTGTCGGGATGGGTAATGTCCACTGCCGATTGACCTAATATGGGATTATACAGGAGAAAGAGGCACACATCTAGATCAGTGCGCCTGTGAGCTCCAGAGAGAATTAAATAAGTGGGAAAGGCCTACCTTCAACATGAGCTGCTCCATCCTACAACCCTAAAGTCCTAGTTGGAATAAAGGGAGAAAAGGGAAAAGGCAAGGAGGGCCCTGGCATTCCCCCTTCCTCCACTTCATGGCCACCATGATGTGAATGGCTCTGTTACACCCCACTCTCCCCACCATGATAGACAAGATCCCTCAAACTGAACAGAACAGAACTTCCTCCATGAAGGTGTGTTTAAGTCACACTGATGAGAAAGACACCCAATATGTATGTCCACACAAAAACTATATGCATGATTATTGTACTAATAACCCTAGTAATCCAAAGATATGTACAACTTAATGTTTATTAATGGATGGAAGGATAACATGTTATATATTTCCATACTTGGATGTGGGTTCCAGGGATGTAACTCAGCTCATCAGGCTTGGTGGTAAGCATCTTTCCCTGCTAAGCCATCTTGTCGTTCCCACTGTGTGGTTCCTTAAAAGCCTTTGGAGATAGCCTAAAGGAGGAATACATAAGAGTTTGAACCTTTGGGCTAGAGAAGCCCTATAATGCTTCAAGCACAGATTAATGGACCACCCTGGTGGGACTTCAGAAGACTGAGAGAAATATGGAGAGTGGAAGCATGATTTATGAGTTTTCAGAGAAGAACAAGTCTTTACTGCGGATTGAGCTGGAGTCCATTTAGTGATATGCTGGCATAGAATCTGGCTTCATTTTGCCCATGGCCTGAGAACTTGCATGAAGTGTAGTTAAATAATAATGGACTAATATATTTGACAGAGAAAATTTCTAGCAAGATAGCATCTAGCCTGTACCACAGCTACTGCTGACTGCTCTTCCTTGTCTCAGAGGAGACTTTGAATTTCTGGGTGATTGTGGAACCTTTGAGGACTTTTAGAGATGGACTCAACTTATTTTGCATTATATGATTGTCATGAACCTGTGGAGAACAAGGATGGAAGGTTATGGCTTACAAGTGGTATGCTTGGGTATCAAATTGACAAAGGGGCGCTTTGATGGTTAATCTTGTCAAGTTGACAGGATCTAGAGTTACCTAGGAGATAAATCTCTGGGTGTGTTTGTGAGGGAGGTCTCAGATCGGGTTGACTGAGGTGCGAATAAACACATCCCCCCCATTTTTCTCCCCAAAGATGGACTGCACCTTCAAATCGGGAACTACAATAAACATTCCCTTACAAAGTGGATTTGTCAAAGATTTTGTCACAGCTAGGAAGAAGCAACTAATGCCTAAACAAATGCTATGCTGCTTTAGATCACCCCGAACTGAGCATTCCTTACCAAATGAATTATACAAGTAATCACATTCTGTGAGTGGCTTCTTTTATTTAACATGTGGATTGTAGCAGCTATTAGTACTTCATTCACTTTCTGTAGACAGAGAGAACAGACTCCCAAATGCTGTCCTCTGGCCTCCACACACATCCTGGCAAGCACACACACACACACACACACACACACACACACACACGTGTGCACATGGGGGGAGGGGGAAGGGGGAAGGGAGAAAATAAATACATATGGAAAAGAGCCAGGTGGTCAACTTTGTCACAGCGATACCTCCCTTCCAGTACCAATCTTACAAATGATCTACTGCTTTCTTGGCTGGACAAACACTTGACAGAGGCCACTGAAGGAGAAAGTTTTGCTTTAGGATTTTTTGTCAGATGTTCTGAATTTTTATACAGTCTGGGGGAAGACATGGAGGCAGAGCATGAGGAGCTGGTCATATTGAGTCCAGGCAGGAAGAGTGAGAGTTGAAGCTGGGTACTCTGCATTCTTTCTTCTCTTTAGTTGTCCAGGACTCCAGCTCTGGAATGTTCTTTCTACATTTAAGGTGGGTCTTCGCATACCAAATACCGACGCTCTATCAACTACCTCACGAGTGTGCCCTGAGGTTTACCACCTGAGTGAGTGTTAAGACCCACCAAGTGCACCATCAGCATTGGCCATCATAGTTAGATTTCCTTATTAAAAAACTATCTGAGAGGGCTGGAGAGATGGCTCAGTGGTTAAGAGCACCGTCTGCTCTTCCAGAGGTCCTGAGTTCAATTCCCAGCAACCACATGGTGGCTCCAAACCATCTGTAATGAGATCTGGCTCCCTCCTCTGGCGTTTGGGTATACATGGAGGCAGAAAGTTGTATACATAATAAATAAATATATATATATATAAAAGAAAAGAATCTATTTAAAAAAACTATCTGAGGTAAAATAACTTAAAATGGGAAATGCTTATTTTGGATCATAGTTCTGGAAGTTTCGGTCCACAGCCAGGAAGGACGCATGGTGTTGCCCTGTGTGGAAGAAGTGCATTATGACAGAGTCAGAGGGGTAGAGAGCAAAGCTACCAACCTCACAGCAGCTGGAGGCAGACAAAAAGGCCCAGGGTCCAGGACCTTTTATAAAGGTTTCACGACTCCCCAGGAACACCATTAGCGGAAGTTCAAGCCTCTAATTCACTAGCCTTCGGAGGACATTTATCCAAGCTATAGATGTTGCCTAGGAACAAAGAAGGGCCAGTAATAGCAGTCATGGCTAACGGCATGGGTTCCTTTTAGAAATCATAAAAAAGTTCTAAAATTTAATATGGTGATGGTTTTATAGATCTGTGAATATGCTAAAAAAGACTTGAATTATTGGCTTTCTTTGGGTAAATTTTATGGTGTAAGAATTATAGCCCTAAAAATATATAATTTTTAATTAATTAAAAATGTAGGATAGACTTCAATGTAAGAACAGAATATACACAACATGTAGCAAGAAGAAGCAAATCTTCCTAGCCGTGCTCAGCAAAGTCTCTTAGATTTGACACCAAGAGCACTCACAGCAAAGGGACAATTGCCAAGCTGGATTTTGTCAAAACTTGATTTTCCAGACTTCATAGAACTCCATCAAAGCAGTAAAAAGGTGGAATGAACCAATGCCTGCAAACTGCATCCAGTAAGGGGCTTGAATTCAAAACATATAAAGAACTCTGGCAAGAATAAAAACCAGACCCTAACCAAGTGCTGCCACGGAGGGGGCCGGAATCAAACCCCAGCATAGCTTAGCCAGCAGGGTCAAACAGCTGCAGGTGTTTTGGGGGACAGGTCAGTGCTCCCTCAGAGCTATAAATCATATCACCATGTGGCCCAGCAGCACTTCTGATCAGATGTGTTTCCACGAATCACACAGCCAGAATTCGGGGTGTGGCTAATGGTAGCGCCCAGTCACCTGCTCTGCAAGGATGTTAGCAATTATACCTGCGCCATGTGCCAACCCCAAATACCTGTACACCAATATTCATAGCAACTTAGTGGGGGTTTCTGCTTGTGTAATAAACACCATGACCAAAAGCAAGTCGAGAGGGAAAGGGTTTATCTCACCTCACACCTACAGGTAATAGTCCATCAGTGAACTACTAACAGACCAACGTGGATGAGCACACGATGAAGGCATGATGCCAGAAACATGTCCAGCCGGCCATGAGGTCTGTATTGTGCTGCTTAGGGAAGCATGTGGCACTGGAGGATCAATATCATCACTTTAGCAAAGGTGACTGGACATAGTGGTGTGCCTATTGTCCTAGCTCACATGGGAGGTTACACGAGAGAATTGTCTTTAGTGCCAGAAGTTCAAGGCCAACCTGTTTCAAAAAGAAAAGAAAACTGAGGATACTGTTGCTAGGAGTAGGGGTTGATGGCACTCTCACTGACCTGGGAAGTAGTTAAAGAAATGTTTAGGGGTTGAGAGAGACAGAGATGTGTGTTTACACACCCTATTTCATACATAATTAAAGAGTTTAAAACTCTTGTACCGTTAGTGCCTGCTGTGAGAAAGTAACCTGATTACAGTAGTTGTGCTAAAATACAATGTGTGTGTAAGCCTTTCTGCTCAGCACCGTTTGATGTATTGTGGTACTTCTGTACTTGATATAGTACACGAAACCCACGAATCTGTCTTCCCTCCCTCGGGCTTAGCGCTTCTATATTTTTTCATCTTTCTTCTCTCCTTCAACCTCCTGTGACAAAGCCCTTTATAAAGTCCTACCAGACTTCTAGTTTGTGGGATGAATTAAGACAGAGCACGAGATTAACTTACTTGGTTGTCAGCCATGAACGTCTTAGTGTGGTTTAGTTCAGACCAGTTTAGACTTCTTGTCCATTCACCCAAGAGATGGCAACTAGTCAGACCTTCAGGAAGCCATTCAGCTTCGTCACAAGCTGGACCTTGCGGAGAGGATCAGAAGGGCTTTATGAGTTTTGTCTCTTCCTCTGCTTTCATGGCCATTTTATTCCTCCTTTCTCTCGACTGCTTGTTTCAGCCCCCACCCCCTCCCACCACCATCCCCACAACCACCACCACCATTTCCGGTCAGGAAATGCTGAACTTTGCACTGTCTGCACAATCCTGAGGTTCCCCTTTCTCAAGTATTTTTGATACTACAGTATGGAAGCTGAGTAAGAGTAGAGAATAGTTCCAGAAAGCTGCTGACATTCCTCAGTAGCCATCTGGAAAAGAGGACAGAAAGGGCCCAGGTCAGAGCTCCATGACCCCGGCCCTCTCTGATGTCCTGTCTGGGCATGTGACACAGTATACTGTAGTGGGGGCAGGGGGAGGCTCTCACATCCCTGAAACAGTTCTTCTGTGCCTTGCAGTTTCGTTCATCATGTTCTGCAGACCAGCCATTGACACACATGGCTATCCTTTCCTTTTAATTTCTGTAGAGCTAAACTCATCATACTTTTTTTTTTTTTTTTTTTTTTTTTTTGTGGAGCTGGAAATTGAACTCAGGATCTCTCAAATGCTAAGCAAACAAGCACTCCACCCCCGCTCTGGCTGCATCATTTGTGGGTACCACTGTATCATGTTCATTTGGCCACCTGCTGATAGATTCGTGGGCACCTCCTAGTGCTTTCAGACTGAGCCAAGTGACGTCTGATGCCTGCCCATGCTCTCGCGGGAGATTTACTCTGGGGATATACCTAGAAGAAGATCTGTGTTCTAGATCTCGGTGACTGTGCAAGTGTTCCGTCGCTTTCCACCCCCAGCTGGTACTGCTGTAAGGTGCCATTCCCCTGAATCATCAACACCCTCCACCTGAGACATTTCCATCTTTATCAGTCTAATGGGTGACTGTGTGTTTTCTTCTTTTTAAATTGCTACATATTCTTGGGTTATACATATCACTACAGACTTAACCAATAATTCCCCTACTGGAGAATGTTCAGCTCAGTCTCCAGTTGTGTTTGGTTTAGATATTAGAAACAACACTGCCGAGAAGCAATCTGCAATCTGATATATATGTCTCCTTTAGTCACTGGCAGGTCCATCTCCAAAATGAACAGTTCTCACCTCACAGAAAATGAGATTCTGTATTGTGAAGCGAATATGAATGAGCCTGGCCTGGGAGTTGGCCTGGGTGCTGTGAATGCTGTGTTCCCACACAGAAGCAATTCCATAGGCTTCCATACTCACAGAACAAGAGAGAGCCTTGTGTTTTCCAAACACATCGATGGGAACATCAGTTGTGTGAGCTACATCGAGTTGCGGGAAACCTTTTAGAGGTATTCGTGTTGCCTGGTGGGAGTCTCAGTTGTGGGGTTGGTAAAGGAGCTACTGGCCTGTTAGTACAGCCCAGAGATTTCCCTGATGGCTGAAAGGGAGAGAATTCAGATATAGAGGGAGGCAAAGATTGGCTATTAAGGAGTCAAAAGTGGCCCAAGATAGTTTTTCTCTAGATCTGCAATGCTAACTCTTCAAAACAAAGTTCTACTCAGTTGGCCAGCTCTGTAAAACCCCAGAATAAGGGCGGCTTTCTTTTCTGAGGGCATTAGTTCACAGTTGTGCTGGGTAAGCATCGCATCTTGTGCATGCAGAGGCCGAGTAATGCTTTATATCTATGACACTGAGAAGGCTAATTCTGAGGAACTGATAAGCACAAGGCTAAGCAAGCAAGAGAGCAGTCTTTGCAACAGAGAACTTGCCGGTGAAATTGTTCAGGAAGACATCCTCTATCTATGCCAGTTTTACCAGCTATCATGATCTCAGTCTGCCTTTTTCCTCCCTCTGCATCTGACAGAACATTTACATGTGACATATAATAGCAATACTACTCCTCAAGTTAAAAGAATTGAGAACACAGCCTAAAGGAGAAAAATGCAACAGATAAGAGAAGCAGGCAGCTAACCAACCAAAAAGTCTTTTTTTTTGAAATTCACTACAAATATGTATAATTTTTATTTTATCAATTAAATGAATAAAAGCATTAAATAATTAAATTAAAAATAACTATTTTTGAAATCTTTTTAGACTTTAATTAATATAGGATTACATCATTTCCCTCCTCTCCTAACTCCTACCCCTCCAATGTCCACCCATCCCCCAATTTAGAGCCTTCTTTAGCCAGAGTTGAGACACGTGCATCTAAACAAATCAGCATGTAAATACAACCTGCTGAGTCCTTGTCCCTAAGTATAATCTGCACGTGTTTGTTCTAGGGCTGACCACTTGGTATTGGATAGCAAAGCAAGAGTTTCTCTCTGGGCAAGACTGCTTCTCTCTCTCTCTCTCTCTCTCTCTCTCTCTCTCTCTCTCTCTCTCTCTCTCTCTCTCTCTCTCTCTCTCTCTCAGCAGTTGTTAGTTGCTTGTGAGACTTCCCCCAGTCTATGTGGAGATGTCAATTGTTTTGGAATTGTGCGGGTTCTTTTGAGACAGCTAAATTGTTGGGATCTCATGGGTGTAGCTTCCCTGTGTCATAGCTAGAAGGGACAATCACAAAGAAGATCTTGTGGTATTCTGACACTGTCTTTCCGCCCCCTCATCTGTGGTGCTTCTTGAGTCTTAGGTGCTGGAGTTTGGAAGATAAATCTACTAGGGCTGGATACCACATGCTCATTTGTTTTCCTGTTTGGGCTAGTTTTGACTTTCTGTAATGGTTTCCTTTCCATGAAAAAGAGGTTTTTGATGAGGGGTGAATGTTACACTTGTCTGGGGGTGTAGAGGTAAGTATTCAGAACGCCATTAAGAATTATACTGGTTTGGAAAATTGGCAGTAGTACAAGTCTCCTCTACCTACGGTCTGTGACCTCCCTAGCCAAGCACAGTCGGCTAGGTTTCCATTCCATTCCGTTTCTATTAGGTAGGCTTTGAGTCCAAGTAGACACAGCTCTTGGTGTCTGCCAGGTGTAAGTACCACTACTGCCCCTTTAGGGATATCTTGCATGATGATCCTTGTGGTTTATAGGCAACCACAACTGTTTAAGATGACTGACACTTTTCTTACCTCGTGGCACCATAAAAGCTAGTCCTCAGAGGCATGCTTTTGGCTCCTTTCCAGCTGAAATTCTCCTAGACCTATGTCTAAAGTGCATGGTGTCCTCAACAATTAGGATTTACTTTTAATTTCTGGGAGGAACCAAACAACAGCAACAACCCATATTGCTTTGGGAACTCTCTTTGATTCCCCAGTCACAACTCAAAAGGCATTTCTCATTCCTGGTACTGGAGTTTTTGCTAGCTACTCTTTGGCTCTTGGGGAGACTATTAGCCCTCCATGTGGTGTGATTTCAAATATTGTATGTTTTCTCTTATATATGGCTATTGGGTTTTAAGCCTTAGATATGAATGTTTCATTCAAAATAGACACAGATGTTAGATAGCTCATATGAGATCACGTAGACCGCCTGCGGGTCACTCAGTCTAGGGGTGTAACCCGCCTGGCAGGGTCAGTTATTCCAGGGTCCCGGAGAGGCGCTATCTGGAAGATATGGGCGGGAGAGAAGAAGAAGGCCAGGCAGATTTGTCGAAGCCTTCGTTTATTAGAGTCATGGTTACAGCTTATATAGGATGAGGAATTTGGGGGGCAGGGGCATGGGCTCTTGCCGCGTGGTCCACACCGGTCATGTAGGCCAGGAGGTTACGATCGGTCAGGTCACGATTCCTCGGCCAGGAGTTCACAAGTTGACACACCTAGTTCTCTAGATAGTTTGGAATGTGAGGCGGTTCCGCTGACAGATAGCTCTCTATTAACAGATAATGTGTGTGGGGGATAGGCTCTGCCAATAAAACAATTCTCAATACAATTGGGAAGTGGGGTTCTCTGCTAACTCCTCAGGGCAATGGTTCCTGTAATAATTTGGGGGGGAAACGGCTCCTGACAAGATCAGTGGGAGGAAGGGCTCTCCCAAGGAAGGGGAAATAAAACATGGTGTTATGGATAAATAAAGGGGAAACTAAAACAGGCTTAAATAGGGAAGAAGATGGGAATGCATAGTAAAGGAGGGACCATGGGGAGGATAAACTAGTACTAAAGGCCTTTTGAATAGTCACATGGATGCTTACAACTCTCAAAGCTTCCTAAAGAGATTTAAATGGAGTTATCACAGAATGGTGGAGACAGTGACACAACTAGATAGCATTTGCTACTAAGTAAACTCCAAGTCTCAGGAATAGGTTACATCTTGTGGAGTCACTGGCCAAAGGGGACCTACAGATATGCCCCCCACAAACAATACAGGCTATTGCCAATGCTGTTGATTACCCTCCAGAATCTGACAGTAAGTTCCTGTTGCTGGAGACACCACTTACGTATGTCATCATACATGGAAAAATTGAGCTGATGCCCTACTGAAGCTTCAATCCTACTGACTAGCATTTATAATATTAAAAGTTACAACACATGCTACCAGAGGAAAGATGTAATCATCAGTCTTACCCAGCTGCAAACCGTGAGAGCCACAACTGTGACCTGCTTTGCAAGATACAGTGGTGCAATAATGGCATAAATGTTATGGTATAGCCAACCATTTTATTTTAAATTGTATCTAAGGCCTATTCCATTATATGGAACCCACATCTGGAAGCTGTTAATGAAGCCACAAACTTGAGAATAGATAAGTCATGGGCCCTAGGGAAAAGCCTACCACTGTTATTCTGCTAAAAGAGCCTGCTGCTATATGTAATGATCTGTCCTGTCCCACTCCCACTCCCTCTTGTCCATTCCCTCCTGGTCCAGTCCACCCCACCGAGGCAAGCTGATCTTCAGCTTCCAGACTGAGTTCTTTCCTTTTCCATCTCTCCCCCTGAAGAGGCAACTTCTGCCTCTCTCCATTCTCCCCACTTCTCTCCTCCCCGTCTCTCTCTCTCTGTTTCTCTCTGTTCATCCCCCTTCTCTCCTTACCCTTTCTCCCCTTCCCTTCCATAACCCACTAAATAAATATCCAACCTC